TATTATGATTTGGCCTTAGACTAAGAATAGCTAAGAGCATTATTATGATTTGGCCTTAGACTAAGAATAGTTAAGAGCATTATTATGATCTGGCCTTAGACTAAGAATAGCTAAGAGCGTTGTTATGATCTGGCCTTAGATTAAGAATAATTTAAGAGCATTATTGAAATAGTATCTGAATTGAATAAAATGTGTTGATATGAACTGAATAATATCAAAACTGTGAATGTCTGAAACGAACCTTGTGTGCATGATATCAAAAGATTTGATTATGAATTTAGATTCAGTTTATATGGATATTCGACGCATTAGATATGCTTACTCAGCTTTACCGCTGAGCGTGTAGTGTGTTTTATTTGCTACACGCAGGTAAATAGAAAGATTAATGTGATTCTGGCGGCAGATGGGGCGAGATTGTCGGGATGGATGTGACAAGTTTGAAATGATTTATGATATGTCAAAATTAAATTCGCTTCCGCAATATTGTTGAATACTCCGTACTGTATGTGTTATGAAAAATATTATTATGATAAATAAAAGTGTTTGAAAAGTTTTAATTTTTTACGATTACCAAGTTAAATACTTTAGTCCCAAAGGGGCTGCAGACCTTGACGGATTAGGGTGTTACAAAGATGCAGTGACAGGAGAGAGGGGGGGGGGGGTATCATTGAAAATACTTTAGGACTTTGGTTATATTTTCTGTTATTTGTTGTTCGGACCATAGTAAATAATTTAACAGAATTTACAGGACAACAAATTGATCCATTACACAAACACATGAATATCATGACATTCAACACAATTGAAAAGTAAAAACAACAGAGCTGAAGAAAAGAGTTCAATGAGAAATGACATGATATTAGGATCAATTTCAAAAAGACAATACAAAAGGACTTGAAATGTTCATGAATTGGAAGGAAACATAAGGTCCATTCCAAAAACAGATTATCTTGCATAAAGACTTATGTACGACGGATAGAAAGGGGTTGGTACAGGTTTTTTATATTATGTCCAGGCATTGTACACCGGGAGCAACATTGTCTGCTCATAGTCTCACCCCTGGATGGAATTCGCCGCCTCTTGGGTCTTCCAGGTGGGAGTTTAGAACATGAGGGAGGTCTACAGAAAATAGTTGACGCAACCTCTAGAACAACCCAACTGTGTCTACTACCAAATGGATGTATAATGTCTTCATATGCTGCAATCCAGTTGGAAGTAGTGTAGTATTTTGATATAAATTCATAGCATGAAACACTTGGGCGTGTACGAATAGTTGCAACAGCATGAACACATACAAAGTGATCGGTTTGGAACTCACAACAAGTACAAGTCCTGGACCGAAGATTAACTGCGAAATCCCTTCCAGTTGTGTCCAAAACCTGGAACTCATATTCACAAGATGGGCAAACTTGAAAAAAAAGAGTTCTTGATAGTCATAGTATGAAAAACATATAATCATAAGAAAATGCAATGTGGTAGTAGAATAAAATAAATGAAAAAGACACAAGAATGTGAATATAATGCTATGTGAGACGTACACTCATGACTACAGACGAAGCATGTAGCTTATTCAACTTTGCTTCATAATGCCTTGTTAGAATGGATGACGTAGAATTAGCCAATGTTCTCCGTTCATGAAACCATTTTTGCATCCTCACAATTATGAAATTAATAAGTTGTGCAATGGCATACTCGCGGGCTATAGCATCAACACTGTTCATTAACTCAACGCTGTTTGATGTCATGATTGAGTATCCGATTGTTTGCTGATTCTGCCCGAGACCAATTCAAAAATCCAATGCGTCCTAGATATGACTGAATGGCTAGATCATCCTCATCTAACAATTTCATATATTAATTCCGTTCACAAACAGTTGCAGCCTTTGCAGCACGAATAAACTTCCATGTAACAGCTTTTGCAGAGCCACGGAATGACGTCTTAATGTTACCAAGAATGTGATATATACAATGTCCAGCATAACGTTTGGGAAAACAGACTGCACAGCATGCCATCATGGTGGTCAGACACAATATACTTCACTTTTTGAGCTACAAGGACCTCTTTAACCTTTTTTAAAAACCACTTCTAATTCGCAGTGTCTTCAGCATCACAAATGGCAAAGACCAGTGGGAATATTTGTTTGTTCCCATTCTGTGCAACAGTTGTTAGGAGCGTACCTTTATAATATGATTTCATGAATCACCCATCAATAATCAAAACTGGAATGCAGTGAGCCCATCCATCTTTCCAAGCACATAGAGACATGAAGAAATACTTAAAGAACCCATTATCAAATGTGTTAAGCTCAATGGTGAAACCTGAATTTGAATTTTTTAGCATATAACACATAAATGGCAGCATTGCATATGACTCTTCATCTCATCCAAAACTTAATTTCAAAGCCTTTTCTTTTGCAAACCATGTTTTCTTATAATTCATAAAAATTCCATGGTCCCTACGCATGTCTGATATTATGGACTTAGGAGGATACGGCTTCTGCGTCGCATCATTGAACTGGTGCTTGATAAGGTTAGCAACAACTGAAGAAGTAGCCTGCGAGTCTCTCCCTGTCTAACATCAACAGGACATTGATGTTCAAAGTCATACCTGGGAGAATATACTTGCTTCAGATGATGACAAAATAAGTGCATTGTAGTGTAAATACTTAAAACACATAAATACAAATGTCTTATAACAGTTTAAACACCACTAACACAAAAGCTTTGGCCAACAAAAGTGGTGAAAGTCTAAGAACACTTAGCAACATAATGAGTAGAAATGCTACCTGCGAATCTGAAACATTTCACCGCGTGGCATGCGAATAGCTCTGATAGCCCACTTGCAGCTGCTACTATCTACACATACAACATGTAAAACTTTCTTTGTGGATTTCCTCGTTCTATATTGAAAATAGTTGCCAATAGCCAACATTTTTAAGTGGTAATCCAGCACTTCCTTGCTCTCATATATTGCATCAACAGCTATTGTGGTGGGGTTGAAATGGGATAAGATCTCAAAATCTGGGGACATATACAATACTTCATCAGATGTCACTGGACGAGTGCTAATGACACCCCTCAAAGGTGGTTCATAACCATTGACATCATGGTGACTGGAATAATCAGTGTCTTCTGAATCATAACTTGTCCCATCCATAGTAAACGACATTGATGATGAGGTGGAACTAGTAGATGCAGGTGCAGGTTGAAGACCAGTTGGAGGATGAACTAGAAGCTGATATTTATCAATAAATTAGACAATATTCTCTTCATTGCCCGTTACATTATTCTCAGTAGGCATTGAATTATTGTCATCTGGACTAAAATTCAAAGACATTGACCATGGAGGCTGGAGACCAGATTCAGACATTAATGAAACATTGTTTACATGATTGACAAGTGCAATGTCCCTAGTAGGCATTGAATTATTGTCATCTGAACTAAAATTCAAAGACATTGACGATGGAGGTTGGAGACCAGATTTAGACATTAATGAAAAATTGTTTACATGATTGGAAAGTGCAATGTCCCAGTAGGCATTGAATTAATGTCATCTGAATTGAAATTCAAAGAAATTGACGGTGGAGACTGAGGACCAGATTCAGCATGTGAAATCAAAGGCGAAACACGATTTGATGTCGCGTTGAGGAAATTGGGGAAAAATTGAACACATAATGGCAGCATAAAAGCATCTCTGTAAAAGGATTTCAGTTGCAAGTAAAATCGAAAACTAGAATCATCATTAATAAAAACAGGGGGAGGGCAAACTGGCAACAAATACGAAAATCGAAAATCATATTGCACATAATCGTCACCAATCGCTACACGAGCAGCGCCCATTAGGTCTGCGAACAAATTTTTAGAATGGATGACCAACTCACAGTTACGTTATGAAAGGAGGAATCATCGATCCATTCGTCATCAACATTCAGCAATATTTTTTATTCGAATGAGGTTGAGCAGACATTGATTTGAGAGAGGAGACTATGATCGATTTGCAGAAAGACGAAGAAGATGAGCGTGCGGCGCAAAATTGAATCTTAGAAGAAGATGAAATTTAGTCGTAAATAAGAGATTGTAAAATAGGGAGATCAAGTCAATATTAGTTCCATTTATGGAAAAAAACAAGTGGTACTATAAGGGAAAAGGCACCAAATTTTGGTACCATCTGTGGCAAATTTGACTAAACACTAATGTAAACAGGAGAACCCTACTCTAGGGGTCTCCCACACCCTTGCCTTAGGGTTTGTGAAAAGGTGAATCGTGAGATGTACCTCATCTGACCAAGAACCATATCAAGATTTTTGTCACGGCTTACCTCACCTACAAGGATCGAATCCAAAAAGAAGCATATTCTATTTTTTGAAACTTAAATTAATAAGGAATTTTTATTAATCTACATGGCAATGAAGTTAACATAAATCAAATATCCACATGTCAATTTTTAAATGGAGGGGCATCCATGCCCATGGATTATTAAGGACACCATAGAAAAACCCTTTAGGAAAAATGTTTCTCCCCTAAATGACAACATAGGTCACACGGATGTCAATATTCAAAGCATTTCTTATTTTGTTAAATCTCTCATGTTTAAATTTTATCTTAGAATATATTTAGCATTATTTGGAAAAAATATTTTCAATTCACACTAACATTTTTAATAGTACATGATTTTTTGAAAAACATTAAGGGGGTGTTTGTTTTTCTGCCAGAAGACCTTCTGGCGTCTTTTGTCTGCGCCGCGCAGACGCGCGCAGACGATGGACTCTGCAGATTGTTTGTTTTTTGGAAGACATTTCACTCAAAAAGGTCTTCCTGGCATCTTCTTGGAGAAGACATTAACCAATGTCTTCTAAAATCTTCTAACATCTTCTCCTTTTTTTCTACTTCTCTTCACCACCACAACCGTCCACCGCCACCGTCCGCCACTACCACCGTCCACCATCACCGTCACCGTCTATCACCATCGTCATCCACCACCACCGCCACCATCTACCGCCACCACCACCTCCGTCAACGTCCACCACCACCCTCCACCACCACCATACAGTACCACCATTAATTTATATAGCAGTCTACATACATTAAAAAAACAAACAGTCTTCTTCTTGCAGACCGCAGACCTTCGGTCCACCACTTCTCCTGCATATGTCTACAGTAGTGGTCCGCAGACCGCAGACCTTTTCCTACAGAAAAAACAAACACCCCCTAAACCTCCTACCCAACAACAATGCTGTTATTAAAGGATTAATTTCTCATTCTAAAAACTTACATTATGAAAAGACAAATTATAAATTTTGGACTAACGTGGAAGATATTTCTCCGTATCTTAAACTTTTACGACTCCGTATTAATCCCCATGTCCTATTGTTCAAATGATTATAAGAGATGATATGACATATGATACGACCCATAAGTTTTCATTTCATATTCTCTGCAAAATAGGGAGTACAGATTTTTTTTCCTAGAAAAAAGCGAGTACAGACTACATATTAATCCCTCCGTCCTTAAATATTTGCCACATTTGTATTCTCGGGATAAAATATCAAGTTTTTTCAATTCATTTTATTTACATATTGGTATAGAAATAAAAAATAAAATTTACATATCAAAAAACTACATGAAAAGTTCTTCGAAATAAGAGGTGTCAACAATATTTCTATTTTATTTTATCAAATAACACTACAAAAAACTGCTGAAATGGCGACGGAATTATTCCGTCGCCAAAGCCTTATTTCCGTAGGTGATCTTCGTAACGACGGCGGAAGTAACGATGGAATCGATTCCGTCGTTATTTTTTCGTTAGTAGTGAGTGTGACGACGGATTTTTATTTTCCGTCGCTAGACTACGACGGATCTGGCGACGGAAATTCGCGACGGATACTTTCCGTCGCTATACCTAACGACGGAGTTAGCGACGGAATATGCATTTTGACTCATTCCGTCGCTAATTTGACAGCTTACCACCTGCAACCTGCTGTTTTTCCAATTTCGCACCCCTCCATAGCAAAACTCAGAAATCCCAGCATCAAACATCAACAATTACTGGAAATAAGGATTACCAAACAACCAAGAATATTCAAATCACCAATAAACAAGTAAAATTCAAATAATATTTATAAAAATTCAACATAACTATCAAATTTAACTCCACTTACATATTCATAAAACTTAAGTTTAATATATTGTTCTTCAATTCTGATTAAAAACTCAACAAGCCCCTGTAAATCCCGCCCCTCCTCCATCTCCACCGCCATCTCCATTTCCTCGTGGGAAAACTCCTCCATAAAGTCGGCTCATCTCTTCTCTAATCGATAATAATTCACGCGCTTGGGAAGCTCAAATGTCATCTAGCTCTTCTCTCAACCTCCGAATCTCATCATCTCGAGGGTCCCACATAGAACTGGTGCTAGCCCGTCTTGCCTGACTTGCATGCATTCGTGGTAGGCTCCGTGCGAGATCTCCAACACCATGAACACGATTCTTGGCATCATGTCCTCCAACTGTAGATAGAAAAATCTCGTCAGGTGTCACATTTAAGCCTTCTTCACGAACTGCCTCTTGCATGGCTACGCAGTTTTGCTGCATTACACAAAACATAAATTTATATATACTTTGTAACATAAAAAGCAAAATAAAATGAGCAGTATGCACATTCAATTAAATCCAACGAAAACTAATCATTCACATATACATTATATATATTCATTCACTTACGGATACTTCTCCTGCCTTCTTATTGACGTAGGTCTTCCCATCATGTTTCTTCGTATGTGTGTGTGTGTACGAAGAGTACAAGTCAGAAGCCTTTCCACTTTTACCCTAAAAAATAAAATATATAAATAAGTGAAAACACGTCACTTTGAAATCTTAAAAGTAATTTTTGTTGCTAACAATACTTACAAGGCGTGCTTGAGACTCGCGAAAAGACAATGGACCACCGGTGTGCGTGGCGCTAGCAGGGGCACTCTCGTCACCGCCACGCTGATTTTTCTTGTTTTGCTTGGAGGATGCCAAGAACTTTGGTGACTTCCAATACTGTTTAACAACATATAAATACAAGAATACAAATATATATACACACAATTTGATGCTAATACGTATAACATAGCTCATCAATTCAAAAGATATTTAGAAATACCTCCTTCCACGATTGCGGTATAAGTGGTTGCACCTTCTCTGTTCCTTTCTTCTCATTCCTAATTGATGAGAGCCAGTCGGTGTATCGCATTCTAGCCTTCGATCGCCAAGCACGGAACATAACGCTATCATCAATGCGAGGGTCCCAAGTGGCATGTTTCTAAATTTAAAAAAGAAGTTAGATCGGACATGTTAGAAAATATCTTAAATAAAATACAAAATATAGAAAGCATACATTTGATACTCGTATCAAACCAAATTTTACCTGAAACTCTCTCCAGTAAAAGTCCACAGTCGCGTTGCTTGGGCTCTTCCAACTACCCCCTGTTGGATCAAGCCTCTGCTGGAATGTGGAACAAATGATCCGTGCTCCCTCTTCCGTGAAGACTACACTGCATGATATTATAAGTACAACATGTGAATTTGGGAACCAATGAAAATGTAGAAATAAACAAAAGTTCCCGCGACTATTGAAAAAGCAAACGTTGCAAATAATTTGGGACAGAGGGAGTAGTAAAGAAAATTACTCCCTTCGTCCCAAAATATTTACAACATTTGTTTTTTCAGCAGTCATGGGAATTTTTGTTTATTTCTGCGTTTTCATTGGTTATTTGATAAAATAAAATATTCTTGACACCTCTTATTTCGAAGAACTTTTCATGTAGTTGTTTGATATGTAAATTTTATTTTTTATTTCCATACCAATATGTAAATAAAATGAATTGAAAAAATTTGATATTTTATCTCGAAAATACAAGTGTGGCAAATATTTAGGGACGCGGGGAGTATGTACTAGTCTTGATGGTTTACATTGTTACAATATGTTAGTACGATAAAAAACTTTTGGACTGACATTTTGTGCATGTGTGAACCATTGCCCTAACATCATACTGGCACATAATGAATGTATGTACCTGCGTTGTACAATTTGGGATACATCTTTTGGAATATATATAGCTAAATTGATAATTAAATCCATCTAATTTACTCCGTAATTTAGATCTCCGTCTCAATAACTGTCTGACCGGGTCTGAAGAAACCCTCAAAAATAGGGCTCATCCTTTTTTTCATTAATGCAAACCCTTCATTACACAATAGGAAATGGTGTTTGCATTTTAGTTTGAGGAATTTACTTAAATAACACTAAAACATAATGACTTTCCCTAAATAGCATCACATGTGTTTTTCTTCCAAATGTAGTACTTTTTAGTCATTATTCAAGTTAATATTCCCCATCACTTGACATTATTAACATTATTAAGTGCTATTTAGGAAATAAAACAATTTAAGTGTTATTTAGAAAAATGACTTAAGTTTTAGTGCTATTTCATGCAAATATTTCTTTTAGTTTTGGCTATTGACATTTTAGGATGTACTCGGGTTTGTTCTCTTCCATATACATTTACGAAGAACTTTTTATTCTCAAGAAGAGTTTCAAAATTCAGGACCCGTTTGGTGAGCAAACGAGATATGAGTTTCTAAATCTCTCAATATCATATTTCTTTTTTGGTGAGGTATAAAAAGAATTTGAAATCGATATCCCGTGCACGCCGCAGGCTACCATTGTCACCACCAACCACCCATGTTGTCAACAAACCCCATCAATCACTAATTAAGTCATGATTTTGGAAAATATTTTGTGTGACGAATGGAGTATAACGTAACAATATCGCTGATCGTGTATTCGTGTGCCGAATGGCATAATTGTGACTCTCCAATAATGAACTGATACTACATTGTAATATACTCTCTCCGTCGTCCTTACCAAATTTATAGTTTTGGTTGATAACTTTTATATATACATTTTTAGTAAGAGTTTGAAAATTACTTTTTTTACAAACATCAAACTATTTTTATATACTAAGACTATGTTCTTTTGGATTGGAAGTTCAGAGTTGGATGTTGGAAAAAACATGAAGGAGTTAGAAAATGTTAGAAAAATTTAGATATTAAAAAGTTATTCAATTAACTCATCACCTAAATAGACATGTAAGAATACTCAAATTTTATATTCATCATATATAAATACATTTTTTAAGTTGTTGAAATAAACTAGAAAGAGTTGTAAAGAACTAGGAGTGGGAAGAAATTAAAAGGAGTTGGGAAAAGTTAAAAGTTAATTTCTTCAATCCAAAAGAATATAGCCTAAATCTACTAATTCTAAAATAGTACAAAATGAAATTTATACGTACACACAAAACAAAAAATATCAATGCATCCCAAAAATTTAGATAACAATACAAAACTAAACGCATAAATGCGGTTAGGACATACGATGCACTTTAACAGTGTAGTAGTGCATTTTCGGTAATGAGAGTAAAGTTCAACTTATTTACCACAATGCCACCACGCTTATTAGATCTTTTCACTTTTTTTTGAATTTTTCAAGCCGTTAGATCTCACATCTAATACACGATATGCATTCTTAATTATTTCTTTCATTAGATCGCACTCCCACTTGATCACATATATAAATATACATATATACACACACACACATACACACACACACATATATACTCCATGTGTGTATATATATATATGTATGTGTGTGTGTGTGTGTGTGTGTGTGTGTGTGTGTGTGTGTGTGTGTGTGTGTGTGTGTGTGTATAAGAATGTATACGATCCATTAGACTTAGGATTTAAGGGCTATTAAAAATCAAAAATCTAAAAAAATGAAAAAAATGCGGGGTAATTGTGTAAATAAATCACTCATTTCCGCCCGTGCTTAAAATGCACCACTATGAGTTCAAAATGTCTTGTGGTGGCCCAAAATGCATCATTCTCACGATAAGGTCTATTCTCGCAGTAAACGTCATTCTCATTTAAACCACACCCTATATGAGTGTGTGAGTGAGTGTGTGTGTATGTATATGTGTATATATATGTGTGTGTGTGTGTATATATATATATGATGAATTTAATTAAATAGTGCTAAAACATAATGACTTTCCCTAAATAGCATCTTATGTGTTTTTTTCCAATGTAGCATTTTTAATCATTATCTATTAGTCATTATTCAAGTGATTATTCACCATCACTCGACATTATGGACATTATTAAGTGCTATTTAGAGAATAAAATAATTTAAGTGCTATTTCGAAAAATGAAATAAGTTTTAGTGTTATTTAGTGCATATATATATATATATATATATATATATATATATATATATATATATATATATATATATATATATATATATATATATATATCTATATATATATATATATATATA